AGGGTTGCTATGAATCATAAAAGACTCGAAGGCACTTAACGACAACAACAACAACATCTATTACTGTAGGGACTCCTGCTGTAGCACTGTAGGATCATCATTGGATTACAAACCACAAGGTCTACAGTTCAAACCCACCAGCTGCTCATCGGAAGCTCTATACATGGATGCTATGAGTCAGAACCAACTCAATAGCACTTAACAATAAGAACAAATTATTGTGCAGTTGTCTATTTCATTTTTCAGTTCTATGAGAGTTTGATTTATGTATTTTGAGGCTCTTTTATTGGAAGCATAGATCTTTATTATGATTATGTCCTCTTGTTCAATTGATCCATTAATCATGATATAATGTCCTTCTTTGTCTCTTATGCTGATTTTTGTCTAAAAGTCTGTTTTATCAGGAACTAAAATTGCCATTCCTGCTCATTTTTTATTGCCTTTAGCTTGATATATTTTTCCATTCTTTGATTTTTAGTCTACTTATGTTTTTGTGTGTGTCTCTTATAAATAGCATATTGAAGGAACCTGTTTGCTTGTGCATTCTTCTACTCTCTGCCTCTTGGCTCATCTAAACTGCCTAATGCAATATGTCATTTGATTTCTTGATTGCTGTTTCCCTGTGTGTTGATTGTAGACACAAGCAAAATAAAGTCTTTGACTATTTCAATCTTTTCTCCATTTATCATGTTATTTATTGGTCCAGTGGTGAGGATTTTGTTTTCTTTACATTGAGGTGCAATAAATGCTGAAGGCTGTGGTCTTTAATCTCCATCAGTAAGTATTTTAAATCCTTTTCACTTTCAGAAAGCAAGGTTGTATCATCTGCATATCACAGATTGTTACTGAGTCTTCCTCCAATCCTGATACTACATTCTTCTTCATATAACCCAGCTTCTCAGATTATTTACTCAACATAGAGATTGAATAAATATAGTGAAAAGATACAACTCTGGTGCATACCTTTCCGGATTTCAAACCATTCAATTCTAACAACTGCCTATTGGTCTATGTATATATTCTTCATGAACACAATTAAGTGTTCTAGAACATCCATTCTTTGAAATGTTATCCATAGTTTGTCATGATCTATACAGTGAAAAGCCATTGGATAGCCAGTATTCTCTGCTTTTAACGAAGATCCATCAGATGGCAGCAATGATATCCCTAGTCCCATGTTCTCTCTTAAATCCAGCTTGAATTTCTGGCAGTTTTGTCAATGTACTGCTGAAACTGGTTCTTTAATTATCTTATCTGCAAATAAAATTATCTGCAAAATTTTACTTGCATACAGTATTAATGATATTGCTCGATGATTTAGGCATTCTGTTGGGCCATTTTTCTTTGGAACAGGCACAAATGTGGATCTCTTCCAATCAGTTGGCCAGATAGCTGTCTTCCAAATTTTGGGGGAGATGAGTGAGTGCCTCCTCTACTGCATCAGTTTGCTGAAACATTTCTATTTGTATTCTGTCAATTCCTAGAGCCTTGTTTTTTGCCAATGCCTTTAGTGCAACTTGGACTTCTTCCTTTAGTACCACTGCTTCTTGATCATATACCACTCATGAAATGATTAAACATTGACCACCTCTTTTTGGTACAGTGACTCTGTATATCCTTCTATTTTCTTTTAACGATTTTGGCATCATTCAGTGTTTTGCCCATAGAATCCTTCAATGCTGAAAGCCAAGGCTTGAACTTTTTTGGTTCTTTCAAATTGAGAAATGCTGAGCATGTTCTTCCCTTCTGGTTTTCTAATTATTGGTCTTTGCACATTTCGTTATACTTGACATTTTCTCCTAGAGCTACCCTTTGAAAAATTTCTGTTCAGCTCTTTTACCTCCTCATTCCTTCCATGTGCTTTAGCTTTCTTTACACTTAAGAACAACTTTCAGAGTCTCTTCTAACTTCCATGTTGGTCTTTTCTTTCTTTCCTGTCTTTTTTTTTTTTTTAATAACAAGGTGGATTTATTTACAAAACAATGCAAACACCATTTGCAGTTAGGAAACATTTCCAATGTTTATTCAAAATATTGGTAATCAAAGTTACAAAGGAAGATTTACAGGGCCACATATCAATAACAGAACAAGATGGAAATGAAAGATTCCAAAATCATCTGGAAGAGTTTCCAAGGAGCACACAAGAGGCTAGAAATCTAGGGTTAAACTGTGGTCCCATAACAGGTTATATTCATTCTTGCATTTTCTCAATAAGTTCTTCCTTTCTCTTTTCCAACTTGTTGAGCTTTGGCTTTGCATTCAATAATTTTTTTCCAATCTTTGTCCAATTTGAGTCTGGTGAATGCCGGGTGAATGCCCACATGGACAGTAGTACCATCAGCCTTCTCACGCTGCACCCTCTCGATGTAGAGACATACTTCTTTCGTTACACCTGGACTACCGTGCCAATCTGCTGACCTTTGTAGTGTCCTCGAGCTACCTGGACCTCATCCTTCTTGCAGATAGGCATGGAGCTGACGTTATACTTCTGTTGCAGCTCCTTGGACTGCAGGGACAACGTGATCTTCCTACACATGTGTGAGGGAGCATTGAAGAGGCATTTGCGGTTCTTGCTGAGGTCTGAGGTCATGAAGGGGTTGAACTTCATGATGACAGTCAGGCGTCTGGCAGCCACGGAAGCTCCTCACACAAGGGCTCCTGTCTTTTTAATGATCTTTTGCTTACTTCCAGTATGATGTTCTTGATACCATCCCACAATTCTTTTGGTCTTTGGTCATTAGTGTGTAATACATCAAATGTGTTCTTGAGATGGTCTCTAAAACCAGCTGGGGTATATTCAAAGTCATATTTTAGCTTTTGGAGACGTGTTTTAACTTTCTTCCACTTCAGCCTGAACTTGATTATGAGCAATTGATGGTCTCTGTTCCAAAGTCTGCCCCTGGCCTTGTTGTAGCCAATAATATAAAGCTCTTCCACACCCTCTTCCTACGCATCTAGTCAATTTGATTTCTGTGTTTTCTTTCTGGTGAGGGCCATGCATATAGTCTTCTTTTATGTTGTTTAATTGTAATGAATGTGTCATTGGTCTTGGTCTTCAAAATTCTGTCATAAAATCTGCAGCATCATTTCCATCATCAAGGTCATATTTTCCAAGTCCTTATCATTTTCCTTTATTTCCAACCTTTGCATTACAATCACCAGTAATTAATTATCAATGCATCTTGATTGCACATTTAATAAATTTTAGATGGAAGATATTGGTAGAATTCTTCAGTTTCATTATTAATTGTTTTAATGGTTGGTGTGTAAATTTGAAGAATAGTGGTATTAACTGATCTTCCTTGTAGGCATATGGATATTATCCTATCATAGACAGCATTTTACTTCAAGACAAATTGATAGGTGAGTGGTTGTCCTAATTTTTTAATATGCATTATAATTGATATTTTCTTTTTGACAATGAATATGATACCATGTCTCTTCAATTTATCCTTCCTGACATAGTAAACCATATCATTGTCTGATTCACTTTGGCCAATTATCAGTCCATTTCAGTTCACCAATGCCTAGGATATCAATCTTTACACATTCTATTGAATTTTTGACAACTCCCAATTCTCCTAAATTCATACTTCACATATTTCAATTATTAATAGATGTTTACAGAGGTTTCTCTTCATTTTGAATTGTGCCTCATCAGCAAATGAATATCCCAAAAGCTTTACTCCATTCGCATCATCATTGTCAACTCTTACTTTGAGGAGGCAGCTCTTCCCCAGTCATATTTTGTGTGCCTTCCAACCTGAGGGGCTCGTCTTCCTGCATTGTATTTGACAATGTTTTGTGGCTATTCATAAGATTTTCAGTGGCTAAGCATTCAGAAGTAGTCCGAGTCTACCTTAGTCTATAAGCTCACTGAAACCTAGCCACGATGGGTGACCCTGCTGGTATTTTAAATGCTGGTGGCATAGCTTCCAGCATCACAGCAACCTGCAAGCCACCACTATAGGACAAATTGATAGGTGAGTGGTTGTCCTAATTTTTTAATATGCATTATAATTGCATTTGTCAACAGAGGAGTGTGTGTGTGGGGGCAGAGTCAGATAACACAGTATGCAAAGTAAATAAGGGTTTACTTGTGCATATTTACTATCTGTAGTAAACAACTTTACATTTTTTCACCACATCCAAGATTCTGCTTTGAGGTCTGGTTGGCATCTGTCTCTCTCAATCCCATAGCACCTTCCGACAAAATCAAAGCCTCTTGTCAAATCCAGGAGACAGGGTTATCAGGGTCTACTTGTGCTTCTTTTCTAGCCTGTAGTGCTGAGTTTCATGTTTTTCACCACACCGGGTAATTCGCTCCTGATTGAGGCAGGGGTGAAATTCACGTCAGCGATCTATAAAATAAGTGAGCCAGTGGCACTGGCAGTAGAAGCGAGCCTTCAGATTCAAAGTCAAAGATGCCACACATTAGTAGCTAACGTGTGGTAGTAAGCATGTCCTGGAGTCTCGAGGCGGTAGATGTCAAGTTGTACGTGCTTGGCCACTGTACGCTTCTATGTAGAGACGCCCCCACTTAGTTGCGAATAAAAGCGCAGCAACTGCAGGGCCGACCAGCCGACACCTCCTCTTGTTTTGGAGGCCCGCGTGGTCCTGGCTCATTGGCCGCCGTGGAGCCCGTGGCTCTTGCGGAGACAACGCCGCCGCCACATTTGTAGTTCTCGGGTTTGCTAGTTCGCCATACCGCCTTCTGGCGGAGGCGCCTTCGCGAGCGTCTAGGACCACAACTCCCACAAGGCCCTGCGATCTAGTGGGGGCGTGGCCGGGAACGGAGGGTGCTGGGGGCGGGGACATTAGGAATGAAGTGGGGGCGCTCAGGTGTCAGAACCTTACTTGAGCTGCCGGCGGAGGGGGTGAGAGTCTCAGACTGCCGGGCTCACTACCAGGGAACTATCCCGTTGCTTCATCGCTTAGGCCGCCCACTCTTCTCCCGCCCCGAGGGGGCCCGGCAGGTCGCAGCGGGGACAGAGGTCAGCATGAGCCTGGGGGTCCGCTCGGCCGGCGCAGGGCAGAGGGCGGCGGCGGCGGCGGCAGCAGTGCAGCTGCTTGTCGTCCTGAGTGTTCTCCCGGGCGTCGTCGAGGTCCAGGTAAGCACAAATGATGGCTGGGGCGGTGTACGGCCCCCGAGGGTCGGGGCGGGACTCAGAGCATTTCTGGTGAGCGGAAAGGAGGTGAGGAAGGAGACTCGACAGCCAAACCCAGGAAACGCCTGCGGTCCGCGGGCGGTGCGCAAGGATGGCGACATTCGAGGCTCATGGCAGCAAAAAGAGGAAGATGGTGACGGCCCGCGTGGACTTTTCATTTGGATTTTTCTAGGGGCTTTTCTTTTTCCAAGCGGCTAGGAATGTGTTGGGATCGGGGAGCGGGGTGGGAGCCTTGGCTGCCTGGGCCCTGCCTTCCACGAGGAAGGCGGCCGCAGGCTGGGGAGTGATGGAGACTAGACGGCTGAACTTGGGCAACTTAGCTTTGCGTTGTGTCTGCTGAGTGGCATCACACCTGGGCAGGGACCTGGCCTGGGCCTCCTGGGCCTCGTGGACAGAGCTCTAGTTGGGGGTGGGGTGGGGGTGTCTCCATGACCACCACCCAGTGTCTGAGGGGTAACTGACCAGTGGAGCTTTTCCGACCCACGCCTAGGAGGACCGTTGTTTGTGTTTCATTTGGTCGCCTTGGAATAGACTACCAGGTGCTGCCGTGTCTTGTCTGCACCTGCTGCAAAGTGGCAAAACTGTTAAGAAGAAAGGGAAAAAAAAAAAGGGTCTCTGGAGAACAGATAATGAAGGGAGACGTCAACTGAAGCAATTAATGCTCAGTGCTCTGCAAAATTGAAGGTATCTAGGAGCCTAGCCCTGTAAACATGTTTTTCCAACTTCATTCTGACACGTTTTTCATGGTTTGGTGATGTTTTGCATGAAATCCCAGACTACTTGATTATTCCGTTTGTGTCCACGTTTGAGTACCTTTGTAATGAGTGATCTGATAAAAATAGAAGAGACACTGTGGAAATGAATACTGGTGACAGTTGTGATAATGAAGGTCATCAGTGTTACTTAGTGATACCTGTAAAAAATGTTGACTTGACATATGTTTTGTTATGTGTATTTTACCACGATCAAAAAGGAAAGGGGCCACTTCAGTTTTTTGCTATTGGTGAGTGTATCAAAAAATGCAGCATTTCTAGTGTTTTTCCCAAACGTTCTGATTCAGTGAATCTGGACTGAGATTCAAGAATCAGCATTTTAAACAAGCTTTGAAAGTCACTATACTGTAGTTCCTTTGGACCACATTTGGAGAAACACTGAAATAGATAGTGGGAATCAGGGCATAGCTGCTAGACTTACATGAAAAGTAACTTTTTCAAATTTTCTAGTTAAAATTGGGTATTTGTTTTTGAGTGAAAGTTACCTTATGGGCCGTGGAGTTGGTTCAGACTCATAGTGACCCTGTACAGGGTTTCCGAGGCTGGAAATCTTTACAAGAGCAGAAAGCCTCATCTTTCTCCCATGGAACAGCTGGTAGTTTCTAACTGCTGACTTTGAGGTTAACAGCCCAACTTGTAACCATTACGATGCCAGTGCTCCTAAGTTACCTTTAGACATTACTTTTTCTCTTTTTTATTTGTTTATACTCTGTGTTCTTTGTCACTGTAAAAATGGTGCGTGGGGGGCGTCTGACCTCCTCTAATGAACTTCAAGGAGCCTGATTGCTGTGAGGTGAAGGTCAGACATGCTTCCACCCTCCAATCTCTTTACCAATTTTGACGCCAACTTTCCCTCCAATGCACTGTCTACTTCTCTGCTGAGTTTAGTAATTTGGTGCAATTGTCACACAATTAGGAGGTCTCTTAGAGAAGTAACATTATCATTCAGAATCAGGAACCCTCTCAGCTCCACAGCCCTGCTCTGGCAAGCATTACAAAGCTCTTTCAACTCCACCAAGTGCCATGAGGCACCTCCTCCAGCAGGTTTCCTGTCCAGAGGTGCCTTCTTCCTGCCAGTGTCCTGCATCTGCTACCTGTGCGGCCAAGGCTTCTTACCAGCTCTCTGTCTCCTGGGTCAGGGAGGTTCCCGGGGCACAGATCCTGGCTCCAAAGGATCTTCTTTCTTGGCAGTTGTAAGATTTTGTCTTTACGTCTTTGGTGTGGATAAGTTTAAGCTTAGTGGGATAACAGAACTGATCAGTTCACATTTGAGTTCTGTACACCTTATTTGCATTATTAGCAAGCTATCAAATCGTCTTGGTGGGCCACAAGCACCTCACTTTGGGGTAAAACTCTGGACTTCAAGGTCAGTTTGAACCACAAGTATGGCAGCTCAAACTCACCAGCCGCTTCTTGGAAACCCTATATAGGGTTGCTGTGAGTGGGAACTGACTCGAAGGCACCTAACAACAACAAACTGAGTCCAGCTGGTTAATTCTAAACATAATTTTTTTTCAATACAAAAAAAAAGCATGCAGTGAAGTGAATAAGCCATTGATCTTGCAAAATTCTATCATGCATTCTCTAGCATCATTTCTATCACCTAGGTCACACTTTTCAACTACTGATCCTTCTTCGTTGTTTTCAACCTTTCCATTCCAATCACCAGTAATTATCAATACATTTTTATTGCATGTTTGATCAATTTCAGAATGAAGACATTGATTTATTGTTGCTGTTTTATGTGCCATGGAGTCAGTTCCGACTCATAGCGACCCTGTACAGGGTTTCCGAGGCTGTAAATCTTTACAGGAGCAGAAAGCCTCATCTTTCTCCAGCGGAATAGCTAGTAGTTTTGAACTGCTGACCTTGCAGTTTGCAGCCTGATTTGTAACCACTACGCTACCAGAGCATCTCAGAAACAGGGTGGTATGAGGTGCAGATGACTTGACAGCATTTAACAGCAACAACAGACAGGGAGGAAAAAGTCAGCATCTTTCTTTTTAACTCTTCAGAATGTGTTATGCAATTCTTCTGTTTAAAAAAAATTAATTAATTGTAAGTTACTGCTTTACTATTTTATATTTATAAAGATATACTATTTTATATCATATCTTAAAATGCTGGCTACTTTGGATGAATGAAGTATCATTTGGTATGAGAGTCTTCATAAAGCTCTTAATGGAAAAATGCCATTATCTTTTAATTCCATTTTCTGTGAATTTAAGAAAACAAAACAAAAACAATCCTTGTGTATGAATACTTATTCGATAAGGTTGAAACATCAATGATTTGAATATTGAAAATTTTATGTGTCTATCCCTTAGGTCACTGGAGTCTTGGATGATTGCTTGTGTGATGTTACCAGCATCGATAACTTCAACACCTACAAAATTTTTCCCAAAATAAAAAAATTGCAAGAGCGAGACTATTTCCGTTATTACAAGGTAAGCTTTTAATTTTTTTTTTTCTGTGACTTTGCCTGAATGTGTATTTATTAAATTTTTAAAAATTTATTTGTTGTTACTGTTGCGAACATACTCAGTGCCACATAAACCAGTTCACAAGTTTTTCCAAGTACAAGTTAGTGACATCAGTTACCTTGGAGTTGTACGACCATTCTCATCATCCTGGTTTTTGAATTGTTTGTTCCCCATTAACAGAAAGTCATTGCCCGCTCAGATTCGGATCTCATTTTTCAAGTTGCTGTTGTCAGCTTAATCCCATCTGGACAGTTCTTAAGGATCATAATGCTCAAGGAAGATAATCTTTACTAGTGAAGCTAAAATTATTATTATTTTTTAAGAAGACTTGAGGATATTATTGATAGGTTAAAGCTTCTCTCTGGACAGTAGTTTAAGGAGTTCATCTACCCTCATGGCTCCAGGAAATCTGAATTCCACGATAATTTGAAATTCTCTTCTGTATTTTCTCTCTTTGTATCTGATTCTGTTTAGAATCTTTCATCAAAATGTTCAATAATGGGAGCTGGACACCATGCTGTTCTTCTGGTCTCATGACCAAGCGGACAGCTGTTCGTAGATGCGAACATTTCATTTTCTGCTCCTATTCTTCAGTCTCCTTCTTTTGCTTCGGGTAAGAAGAGCTCAGTGGGTTTGCCTTGACTGTCTGCTTGTAAGCTTTTGAGATCCTAGGCACTTCGCAACCAACTAGGAGGTAGACGCACTAAACACGTTATTAGACTAGTTAACTGGGATTTCGCGTGAAACCGTGACCCTAAACCTCCAAACCAAGAAACTGAATCCCATGAGATTTGGGGTACTTTATAAGCAGTCTCAGCAGCTGCTGCTGTAAATCTTGTCTTAAACAACATTTGCCAATTCAGTTTTTTTTTTTAACAAATGTGCAGTTTCCTGATAGCAGTTAACAGCAATCAGTTGTGCAAACCTCCCCTTAATCTTTGTAATCTTTTCTTCATTACCATCAATGTGTTATTTTTTTATTCAGCTGGTACCAGAGATGTGTACATAACTGTCTCTATGTGTGACTTTTATGACCCTTTTGAAAGCTTCTTTTGATTATGTATATCTTTTATCATTTGAATTTAGTAAGTATTGCAGTGAAAACCTGCCATGCTTTTTGTACGGGAATAACTGGAACCCCCTTTCTATGCTTGGGGGCTCCTCGCCTTTCAGTTTGGGTTTTGAGTCAGACTACTTCCTCTACAGAAGCCAAAATTGCCAGCTTTCCTCATAACTGCGATTGTGTCATCTAGAGACACAGCCACCAGACTGTGAGTTCTTCCCGTGGCAGGATCACCTGCTAGCATTCCCAGTGGTAGAGTACCACAGTAGAAGGTACTCCTTGCCTAGCTCACTGGGAGCATTGGGAAACCAAGCAAAAGCTACTAGCAGACCTCCACTCAGAGTAGTGCAGAACTGGGTTATAATTATAGGTCACTCTCCAGCTCTGCAAAATAACTCATGGTCATTTAGAAGCAGCAGCAATCATTCCATTGTCAGTAATGTTCAAAAGAACACTGTTGTATAAGCTTTGGCGATTTGACTGTGCTCTTGCTCTCGCTTTCAACCTCTCAGGCTTAACGTGTCTTTGACTTACATTTTTAGTTCATTCTACAAATGGAGCACAGTTTTCTTTCTCATTCTGATTTGGATGGCCAGTTAGTTCTTAAATACTTTTGAGGATTTTTAAAATCCTGTATTATGGCAGTTTTTAAGTTGATGTAAAAGATAAATTAGAGAATTAAAGATGTGCATGTTGACTCTCACTCTTTCATTCCTTCCTTTCGGGATTGTGCCTTCTATTTGTGTGTCTCCATAAAGTCTAGCCACTGTTGTTGTCATTGTTAAGTGCCGTCAAGTCTGTTCCAACTCATAGCGACCCTGTATATGGTTTCTGAGGAGTAGCTTGTGGGTTTGAACCACCGATCTTGTGGTTAGAATTCCAGAGCTTATCCTAAAGCGCCACACCAGGACTCCTAGCCACTGAGAGGCACTTAAATATTTGAATGTTTTATCTTTTCAAGGAATCCTGTTAAGTTAGTATTATCCATAACTTATGAATGAAGAAAATAATCGTTTTCATAGCCTCGGTAGGGTACTTTGGCTAGCAAAACAAAAATTTTATTAGTATGGGTAGAGTAGCTCACAAAATTTAAAGACAAGCAGAAAAACTTATTTGAGAAAAGATGGAAATTAGAGTAGGAATGAATGCTCATGTTCTTTTTGGCAGTATTGAAATTCTGTGTCCATGTAGCCCTTTGTCCATATGTTTTGCAGTACTGTGGTGGGGGGAGGCTGTGTGCTGTGGAGTGGGTTCCGCCTCATAGTAACCCTGAGTACAGTTTCTGAAGGGAACAGGAAGCCTCATCTTTCTCCCACAGAGCGAGCAGCTGGTGGATTTGAACTGCTGATTGTATAGTTAGCAGCCCAACACATAACCCAGTGTTGTCAGGGGCCATCGAGTTGCTACTGACTCATAGTGACCTTATGCACAACAGAATGAAACACTGCCTGGTCCTGAGCCAACCTCACTATTGTTGCCATGCTTGAGCCCATTGATGCTGCCATTTTGACAGTCCATCTCGCTGGGGGTCTTCCTCTTTTTCTCTAACCCTCCACCTTACCAAATGTGATATCCTTCTCCAGCAACTGGTCCCTCCTGACAATATGTCCCAAGTATGAGAGACGAAGTTTGGTCATCCTGGCCTCCAATACAGGGGTCAATTTCTGGTAGAAAGGGTCTTACTGGCCTAGTGAGTATTAGATGTTCCCTTGATTAACCAAGGGAAGGACCTTGGCTGACAGCCTTATTTGGGAGACTTAAGGAGTCATGATGTGATGCTGTAGGATGCACACTGGATTGCTAACTGCAAGGTCAGCAGTTCCAATCCATCCGCTGCTCCTTAGAAACCATATTATACAAGGTCGCAGTGAATTGGAACTGACTCAACAACAGACAACAAAGGAGATATTATTGTGTCTTGGAGGGAAATCAGAAGAAGGAGAAATGTTGGATAGACAAAAAGAGCAGTTGTGCATTTGGCTGTCATGAAATTTTCTGTATGTAACCAAAGCATACTCATACCCTCCCCCAAAGGAGGGTAATGCAATGGTAACACATTCAGCTCTGCGTCTAGGATCTTTGACAGGATATCTACTCCTCCTCCTCTTTGGTTTTCATTGTGCAACTTTCACATTCATATGAGGTGATTAGAAATACCATGGCTTGGGTCAGGAACACCTAAATTTTTAGAGTGACATCTTTGCTTCTTGACACTTTCAAGAGGTCTTTTGCAGTTACATATCTTTAGTGCAATACATGATTTCTACCTCCATCCTCCATGGGTGGTGCTGTAGATCCAAGTAAAATGAAATTCTTGACAACTTCAGTATTTTCTCTGTTTATTACGATGTTTATTGGTCCAATTGGACCAACAAGAATTAATGGGTTTGAATTATGGCATTGGTAAGGAATGCTTAATATACCACAGGCTGCCAGTTGTTGGTAAGTACTGTCGAGTTGGTTCTGACTCATAGCGACCCTCTGTAGGTTTTTCAAGGAGTGGTTAGTGGGTGTGAACTACCGACCTTGTTTAGATAGCCTGTGCTTAGCAGCCCAATGCTTATCCAATAGTACAAGCAGGTCTCCTTAAGTAGCGTTATTGTAGGTAAGTGCTGTTGAGTCAGTTTCGACTCATAGCGTCCTTGTGTAGGTTTTCCGAGGAGGGGAGGGTGGGTTTGAACCGCCAACCTTGGGTTCAAAGTGGCCTTGTGGTCCAGTGCTTATCATACAGTGCCACAAAATCACTATAATTTGAAATCAACTCTTAACAGCAACAACATTATTTAGTTCTGCCAACCATGAAGCAAACAAGAAGGGAACTTCACCATTTCCAGTAAGCTCTGCACATACAATATTGGCAGAGAAGAAAAGCAAAGTAAAGTTCATTTTAAACACACACATATGTGTTTATGATTCAGCACATAAGCAGATAGAGATAGAGGTCATACTCTACCTTTCTGCAGCTGGTCAGCGGGCTGCTGAAGCTGCTACTTATAACTTCTCTTTTACACTGGCCACTCTACTGCATTATTCATCACTTGTTTATTTATTAAATGGCTCTTTTCTAAGTACTAGATACAGTGGATACAGTACTAAATATGGCAGCGACTGACCTAATGAGGCTCTTATTCTGATTAGGTAGACAAACTATAATTGAGTAAATTATAAAATAGAATTTTGGATTATGTAAGCAAAGTGGGGGATAGTGAGTATAAGGGGAAGGTGGGTAGCTCTCCTTTTATACAGTATTGTCAGGAAAGGGAGGTATGTATGCTAAGGTGACATTTGAATGGAGATCTGTCTAAGGTGAATGAGTAAATTATGAGACGTTCTGGGGGGAGAAGTATAGAACAACAGGTATACAGGTCTCAACCCAGTAAGTCTTAGTACTTTTGAGGGCTAGGAAGAAGGGCAGTGTAGCTGGAGGAAAAGAAATGAGAGAGAGAGAGTTGGAGAGGTACATCGGGATTAGACTAAGTAGAACCTACTGGCCATAGTGAAGTCCTGGTGTGACGTTGCGGGTTAATGCACTGGACTGCAAGGTTGATTTGAACCTCACGGTCGGCGTTTTAAGCTCACCAGCCGCTCCTCGGAAACCCTATACAGGGCTGCTATGGGTCGGAACCGACTCTACGATGCTTAACAACAACTTTGGTCATATTGGCGTCATACTGTGGGGCTGTGGGATAAAGCATTGGACTGCAAGATCAGTTTGAACCACAAGGTTGTGGTTCAAACTCACCAGTTCCTCTTTGGAAAACCTATACAGGGTCGCTTTGAATCAGAACTGACTTAACTGCACTTAACATTAACAACAATGTTGGCCATATTAGAAACTTTGGTGGCACTGGGCTGCTAGCCACAAGGTTGACAGTTCAAACTCACCAGTTGCTCTGTGGGA